CACCTTGACCCAAATGCTCACCATTGGGACGAGGTAGGTTCCATCTTTTCCACGTGCTTTTTACCCTTAGATGTTTATCCCTTAACAGATGGGTGATGAAGACGAAGACGACTTTTTGACTGAGGTCATAGAATTTGGCGATGGGACTCAATACACCGTCAAACCGGAACAAGTGGGTCCTGCTGATGGTCCAGAAACTTCTACCCAAAGATCGGATGATGGGCCTGTCAGAAAGGAAGATCGGTTTGCAGAAGACTTCGATCGCAGTTGGCCAAGGGGCCCGCCTTCATCGACCTCGGTAGCGGCGCCTTTTCCTCTTCCGGCTTCCTCAGTACCTACGGTGCATGATGGGCCACCCCCGCGCTCTGGTGATGGAAGAGCTCTTTTCAATGAACGATCGAATCGACTCGAGCATCCTCGGACGTTCAGGGGCCAAGACGGTTCCATGGATCGACCCTCTATCCCTCCGACTGCAGTTTGGGGTCGTCGAAATCTGTCCGAAAGCGAAGCCTCAAAATCATCATGGGAGCCTACCTCTCATCCATCTACATCACACTCTGGGAACCGTGATCCTCCTCCGCATTCGAATGTCCAGGTTTTGCAAAAGCCGTCACTTTCTGTGCGACTTGGCTTCGACAACACGCCCTCTGCTGGGAGTCAAAAGCGTGGAGCAATACTGACCACTCCCCTTGCAGTGGAGACCCCTTCGCCATTGTCAGATCGCCAGGCCCTCTCACCAGCATCGAGCAACGCCGGACTCCCTCGCGTTTCGTGAGTTGCGTTGCGTCTCGACTTCGTTTCTGATAGCTCAAGATTCTTTTTTTGTTCGTCAATTCTTTCATCACCAGTGCATCCAGACCGACTTCAGAACGAGGGCGGAATGTTCCACCGTCCCCTTCCACCGCTCCTTTGCGACTCGATACTGGTGAACATGTCCCTCCAATGGTTCGAGACCGATCTCGGGACTCCGCACGGCACGGGCCTCCACATCATCCACGGATGGGCCCTCCTACCTTTGTCCCGCAGATGGCGCGGCGACCATCCCGAGGAGCTCTCGATCGACGAGACCTGCCAGCCCCACCCCCATATGGTCGACGAGCCCCTGACGTGATGTCTAGTCCATCTGAGCCTGCTCAATCCCCTTCACTCCCCACGCCCACCCTTGCTCACGCCATTCCCTCTGCGCCTGCAGACCCTTACGCACTTAAGGCGCCCACTATGGCCGACATTGCGGAGTTCAGCAAGGAATCTATGCAATCAGGGGCCGAGCGAGCTCGAGAGCGCCGGCGTATGGAGGAGGAACAGCGCGAAAAGGACAAAGAGCGAGCGAGGCGAAAAGCAGCTGAATTGGCGGCTGCAGCTGAGGCGAAGAAGGCAGAAGAGGATGCCGCGACTAAGGCAGAGGCCGAATCTAGACTTGAGACCGCCATAGAGACTGCGAAAGTGGATGGGGTGCAGAATATGATCACTCCCCAGAGCGAGACCTTGAAACTCCCCAACCGAGATCCATTGGTTTCCCAAGATAATGGACCCCCGACGTGGCGGGTCCGCTCCCGGCAAGGCACGGCTCGGTCAGAGACAACTACTTTAGATCAACGGGGCCCGCCGTCGACTTCTCGTCCCACACCTGACATCTCAACTCCGTCAGACATTGCCAAACCTCGAGCAACACCGTCATTGGGGCCCTCTCAGAGCATGCCAAGTATCGATGCGTCTCACGGGCATATTCCTCCATCACGATCGTCATTGACGAATACTCTCCGAGGGCGTGACGTTCACCAGTCTGCTAAACCAGACGATCCCCTAGATTCCTGGCGGAGTAAGCCACACCATCCACCACCAGCGGAACCACTGCTTCCTGTAGTACCCGAGATTCCCAGCGTCTTCGATGTTGCCGGGGAGAAGAATCTGCAGATCTTTGATTCCTCAGACATGGGAAAGCCAGTAGGAACCGAAGGACAAGCAGTTAACACACTAGCTGCTGAGGTGGTGCAGGAGTCAGCCCTGACTATTCCATCCCGGACAGAACATCTACCACTACGGCGGGGGCCTCCCATTCATCCAAGTAGTGATGGCGTAGTTCCTGCATCCGGTGCCAAAGAAGCGCCACGACGCCCTTCAATTCACACACCGGAGGTTCATGAAGTACCCCCACCCGCGATCTTGTCCCCGTCTCTACACTCCGCTGGGCTCTCTATCCCTTCAAATGCTGATCACTCCATATTGACGATGTCGCCCCGATCTCTCCCCTTGCATTCCCCGACGAAACATCAATTTCGAGAGGCGTCGATGTCGGCACTGGACGATGTCATGTCTCGCATCAAGGGTGCATTGAGTGACATACATCCTGGAGAGTCTAGTCGTTCGGTCCCTGACGAGCGTAAACCCAGCGCCCACCGTGGACCTGAAGGAGATTTGCAGCATTCATTTCTTCATGCCCGTGTACATGCCGGAGTCTCATCCCCTCGACAAAATGGTGGCGTATTACTGGGTGCTTATGACAATTTTGCCTTGAGTCAACTTCCATGTCCGCCTTCTCCATCGCCTTCTCAAACACGATCTCGCCCTAAGGTTCGTCTTGATCGACACCGACGACCACAGGAACCCATCAGCAAACGCGTATTGCACTTGTGGAAGCTACCTCCTCGTCCTATTCGGTGGGACATTTTGTCATGGGATCCACCTGTGGAAGGGATGTCGCGAAAAACTCTTTCTCGAGATGAACTGTTGTTTTCTCCTTCACTAGAAATATTGTTGTCGCTTGCCTAAGCCCCGAGGCATTGGAAGTTCTTCGCCGTTGCCGTCGTCCACAACTCCGCCACGTGTCCAGCTGCCGTCTGGGAATGCGGATCGCCGTGCGAGCATTGATCGTTTACCGGAGCGGGAAAATTACCCCGCTGAACCTGGTTCCCTGGATCCAATAAGTCGCTCGCCACCTCCAAGGTCTCCGGGTGGCAAAATGTCTGCTTCTCTTCCGAAACTAAGCGGTTTTTCGCCTGCCCCGACTTCTCAAGGGACAGAGGCAGCTTCAGCGGCGGGCTCTGTCGGTCGTACAAAATCCGTACCGAAGTTACCCGCAGGTACCGATGTCGCTTTCTATCGGCCACCAACAGGTGTCACAAAAGCTCGAACGTCGTCTGTCAACTTCACAGTCTCCAGTGAGTTAGAGGTATTGAGCGGGGAGCCCCACCTGGATCGAGTTCCGAGTCGGTCACAGAACCGAATTTTGACGGAGGCGTCTCTACTCCCGATAGCAGCAATTCGGATGGGGCTCACGGGAATCCATCTGGAGCTAAATCCCCCACCGATGTGGTCCGTTCTGTGCTGTGCTTATACAAAATTCACCTCTGACTCTTGACTTATGTTAGCCGTCTCCCATTCCCGCCCCTCCACCAAATAACTCGACGGCCTGGGCCAAGTCACCCCTCGTCTATGCACCATTAACTTCGATCTCTAGGACTCCTGCAGTGGATGCTGAAAACATCAAATCGCTTTGGGAATCTACTGACAAGGATGTGGTGACAACAGAGAACTCTTTGGAGGGGATTGCAGATGATTTCCCGACCTCAATCCAATTTTCTGTCCAAGATATGAAGTCGGATGATGGAGATGATGGGAAAGTGCTGAAAGTCTCTGACTCATTATCGCCGGCGCCATCTGCACCATCATCAAGACGCGTAGGATCGAGAATGTCTGTGCACGATGCACACAGGGCATTCCAACAAGTTCCACCATCTCCTCCATCCAGTCGCACTGCACCGTCCCCCCCACAGTCGCATTCTGGGTCATCCCACTCTACTCGCCCCACTTCACAATCAGTCCCTCATCTTCACCCCAACGCCCGACCCTTTCAACCGTACTCCACCTCGCAGAGTCCAACACTAGGCTACGCCCAACCATACCCAGTTTCGAGTCCGTCGCCGTTGGCGCCTCGACCCCTCCCTAACGGGCATGCCCAATCTCCTCAACACGTGTGGATGCCTCTCAGCCCCACGCCCCCTCATGCTCAAGCGAGCTACTATCGGCCTCCTCCGGCACCATATACACAAGTTTTGCCGTATTCTTCTTCTGCCCCCATGGCACCTGGATATTCCCCAATGTCAAAGACTGCGAACGGTGCTCCAGTGCTACCCATCGGACGTGGGCGAACCATACCTGGTTCGCACCTGGTCAATTCTATGGGAACTTCAGGAATCATCGGTTCCTACCCAAACAATTCAATGGATCAAAGTCATTTCCCCGGTCGAACACCACAGATGAGTCCACCCCACATTGGCTACCCACCGTCCCCAGTGCCTGTATATGGTGTGGCGATGAGCGCAGGTCGCGGGGTTCCAACTCGAGCTGCGACGTTTGATCCCCATTCTCCTGGAGTTTACAACTCGGTACCCTCGACGCCCTTCCGTACTTGGTGAATTACTTATTCTGCTCTATTTTTCCTTTTGTGTCAATATATTTCCCTTCCTTGAATGAAAATGTCTCTGGGAAGCACGACACAAATGAATCGCCGGTAGATACGACAGAAGCGACATTTACACCACATCGTTGAAACTCGTCAAGATCGCATAATTCATACAGAGATTCCCTCGGATGTGTCGAGGAAAAGCGGCCATCAAAGCCCTCATCTTGACGGGGGCTCACTTCACTACAGCATATATATCGGTGCGTTTACTGGTAACAATGCGTCCATGGAGAATAGCTCAAGTGTGAAAAAAAACTCGTCTCTCTCGAGTACAGTCGTCGAGGGAATGACAGTGGCATGCTATTAGATACACTACCTCTTCACTGGTCACCCTGAGTTTGTCCCAGTGGGAAGGAATATTCATGTAGTTAACAATGACATGAAAGAAAGCAGATGCCTGGCCCTGGCGGCCCAAACCTAGAGTGCGATGACCGCGACAGCGAGTGGAGGTCACTTTTTTTGCGGCCCCTAGAAGTAGGTACGGTAGTTCTGCCTCGCGGCAGATCAGGAGTAGATACTGAAGTTACACACAAAAAGTCTTCCTGCCTGGGAATCGAACCCAGCCCTCTCCCGTTTTCAGACTGACAGGGGAGTGTTCTACCGATATACTAGCAAGAACCGACTTGTTGAGGGAATATCACCCTGTCCTTATGTACACAGCAAGGTCGTGTAATCATTGCAATACCCGGTCTTCACGGCTTGCATGCGACTTGTCAATGACTAGGAAATTACCGGTACACGGGCCCCGAGTTGGCGACTGATTCATCATTGACCGGGTCACAAGCACAGTCACGGGGTGAGACCCAAAAATATACGGTTTCTTTGTTGGCACACTTGGATCGAAACAGAATTGATGAAACAGACATCCTTGGAAGCCAGAACATCCTAGAGGGAACCCATTCTAAAGCTTCGACTTGGCATCTTTCCGAGGATCTCGACCACGCACGACGCCTTCTTGAGCTGCCACCGCAATCAGCTTTCCAGCTTGATTATAGAACTGGGATCGAGCTGGTCAGCACATGGACTTTATGCAGAGAGAGGGTGCGGAAACATACGCAGCCCATAACGGTCCCTCGTCCTAATCCCGCACGTGGGGAGTCCATCTATACGCAGAGGAATGGGTCACCAAGGAGACCCGGAGGGTATACATCGATACGCACGGAGTAGAGCAACCACTCGCCGGTATCGAAATCGTGATCATAAAACCACATAGCATGATCCAACGATGCCTAATACGTACAATGTCATCAAACCCCCTAAATCAAAGGAAACGCGCAAGTCACGCACCACCATATTTATCGTCACAGGCGGAGGATTATCGGGATTCTTGCGTACGGCCCGAAGGGCAACATTCATGCTAGAGGGTTGCTTCATCAAAAAATGAACAGAATTGAGGCGAACCAATAGGACTTACAAGTTGAGATCTGCCATGTAAGCTAGTATACACTGGAAAAAAAAAACCGTCGGTACACAAAACTAGCCATGAGCGAATGTTGCACTTACTTTCTGGTAGGGAGCTTCGAATTTAGGAACCGCGCGCGCACGGTACCAGTAATAGACAGGGTGGTCTGTTACAGTTATATCCGTGGCCATTCGAATCTCAATTGGGCTATTTTTGCGATCCTGCAAGCAACTTATTGAATATGCAACAAGCGCCAGAGGCTTTATCCTGTCCCAACCTGAGCGTGTTGTAAAAGATATTCCTTTCGTTTAGGATCCGATTCCATATCGGCAAGGTGCTGTAATACATCTTCTTGTTTCATACTGTCCTCGGGTGATTTCACTTTGGGCATCGGCCACTGGGCGACCAGGTTGTTCACTTCCACTTTAGAGAAGGAGACCATCAGAGTAAAAATTGTGCGTCCCTGCTGGACTGCTCTCACGGAACGCGTGGCGAAACTACGGCCTGTTGAGAAACGCAGTTGAGAGAATGTAAGGCTCGGAGGAGAGTTGCGAGTACCTTGTCTAGTTCGTTCAACATAGTACAAGATGGGGATGGATGGAGAAGCCGTCAAGAGAAAATAACACTGTTCCCGGCGCTTAGAAGCTACAGGGCCATGCGGATTTAGTGCACTTACGTGTAAAGACTGTAGTAGGGAATGTCGGCGACGTAGTACTGCTGAAGAGGCGAGCTGAACTTACATGCGCATGGAGTCCTTGGCCTTCGGGGACTGATTTCGTTGCCGCAAGAAGTGCTTGAGAGATGACCTATGGAATCTTCAGCACAGGAGTACAGGGATTGGAGGGAAGAGATACTCGCAACGCCTCCGAAAACTCCGCGTGCAGAGTAAGGAACCCAAAGTGACCTAGCGTGCGAGCGGAAGCTTGGAAACCTGGGTGAGTATGCAATAATGACGGGATGGATCTTGGGGAGGCCCTCACAGGTTCTCGTCTAGCTGCTCAAGATCGACACTGGCATTTATGAGGGTGTGTTCCACCTCTCTAGAAGGCCGCGTCGCGCTGTCATCGTCCATTCTTACCGGAAGTTAGCGGTAGTTGGAGGCTCCTATTTCGGAGGGTCCCAGCCATCACGTGGAGCATGACGTCGGGATCCCGACCGGAATTTTCCGATATCAAAGCTCGCGACGGCCGCCCGGGAGAATTAGACATTCCCGCCCATGGCTACTCGCCCATCTACACCTCCAAATCGCCCGCCCGCACCCCTCCCACTTACCCCGGATCAAGTAAGGCGCGTCGAGATCAACCGTCTCAAAGCCAAAGCCAAGTTGCGCGAATCCGAGTCACTAGCCTCTTCGTCGACGCTTCCAAATGCACATAACAAGCGACCATTACAGGTCACTCCAGATGCCTCCACGTCTCCAACAGCGCCTGCTCCCCTCAAACGGAATAGTCGCCTGGGGAACTATTTCGAATATGATCTCTCAAAGATGGTCAACTCCAAAGGTGGCTTCCTGATCGAAGATAATGATAAAAGCGACGAACGCACCAGAATGCTCGAAGAGCAGCGTGCCGAGCAGCGAACCGCTCAGAAACTGGATCCTCGTGAGTGCGAACGGCGTGGCTTTCAGCATTCACATCCCTAAGTACAATTTAATATAGCAATTTATCTTGATCCATCATTGAACCCCAAGTGCCTGGAATGTCGGTCGGTGGATATCGACCACCTGTACAAGAGAATATTTGGGTGTCTGGTCTGCGAGAAATGCAAAGCCGCGAAACCAGAGAAATACAGCTTGCTGACCAAGACTGAATGCAAAGAGGTGAGTTTTCTGGGGCTTGACGTTTCAACACACCTGGATCGATCGCTGATATTCCGCAGGACTATCTCCTGACTGATCGTGAGCGTCCCATTATAACGAGGCCCTTCAACTCACCCTGGTCCTCACATTCAAACCATACTAGCCGAATTGCGAGACACTGATATCCTGCCTCACTTGCTGAAAGCGAACCCTCACAAATCAACCTGGAATAACATGATGCTCTTCGTGCGATTTCAAGTGGAAGACTTTGCATTCAAAAAATGGGGCAGTCCTGAAGCCCTTGATGTAGAATACGAGCGTCGAACGGCCGAGGCCAAAAAGAAGAAGGGGAAAAAGTTTGCTCAGGGTCTCCGCGATCTCCGCCGCAAGACGCGCGAAAGCGAGTGGCAGATGCGGAAGGACGCAGAACATCGGCACGAATTTGGTGCTACGGAGCACCGGGAAGGGGGGGAGGGTGTGCAGCGCTGTATCGAATGTGGCTTTGAGATTGAGGTCGAAGAGCTTTAAGTCTTTCTCTTCTTGGACATTTTGGATTCTTGTAAGCCACGTACTTCGATTCTAAAGCGTACTAATGATGATAGTGGACATGACACTGCGGAAGAGTCAATGACGCCCCCATTGTACCTGACGGTTTAGCTGGCTCTGTCTCTGTAAGGCCAATGTACGTGCACCTCAAGGTGGAATTTCCTGATTAGTTTTTGGACGTGATAACCCCCCTTCCCCCTTCCCCCTTGGACTTGGAGAGTCGCACCGGGGAGGGGGAGACTATATAGCTCTGAGCAGCTTCCAGGATTTAGAGAAAGAGGGCGAGAGTGATCCCTCCGCCGCTGTGTCTTCGAAATGGGCCTGATCTGTCCGACCGCGCAGTAACATCTTCAGATCCATCCCAAGCGCTTGGACTACTTGAGCCCATGTGCTCATCGTCGCGCCACTAGTTTGGAAAGTCCGGATGGAACTAAGCGACTGGCGCCTATTGCAAATACCTCGATGAACAAGACACCCTCTGAATGTGTCTTGAGCCACAAGTTACCGGGAATAACTTTGACGACCCAGACCATTAATCGCACACCTCTGTATCCCTGGGTGAAGATCACATCCGGTTTAGTCCGATGCTCGCGGCCTGATGACTCTGGTCCACCGCCCTGAGACCACCACCATTTTGCGTGCCCTGAACCCCAGTCACCCTGAGTTCGTTTCCAGGGCGCCGCACATAAGTCACCTTACATTCACGTACAAAGTACATTCCGTGGATGTATCTAGTTTAAACAAATAAACCGATTCAAGCATCCTAGGCTCTCGCCTTGATCATCCCATCCGTTTGCTCAGAGTTTAGCACTGAGTCAGGATACGGCAGAAGGGAGGTCGTGGTGTGGTGCTCTCCTCCGTCGACGACCTATCAGAATCATAGTCGGCATGTTCAGAACGAGACACTCGACCCCAGGGGGCTCCACAATACGCACAAAGATCTGACCAGTGACCCAATTTGCAGCTTCCGAGAATAGGAAGATAGTCGCATTGGTCACATCACCAAACTGCCCTAGGCGTTGCAGGGGCACAATTCGGTTGGCCTTGTCCATCTGTCCTTTGGGTGTCAATCGATCCACACCCTCAGTCCCCGCGATAGGTCCCTGAAGGAGAGGGAGCAGTCGAAGGTATGAGTTCAGTGGCTACTATTACAAATTCGAAAGCTTACTGGAGAGATAATGTTGCTACGAATGCCACGAGGGCCCTCTTCGACAGCCACAACAGCGTTCAGCGCGTCGATACCCGCCTTTGCTGCGGATACGTGGGACTGGTACTGCAATCCACGGAAGTGAAGGGTTGCACTGACGAACAGAATCTACAGATAACATCGAAATTAAATCCACTGAGGCGGAATTGGGCTAGAGCTGAGAGGACGCACGGAACCACGAGTCTCTCGAATGTAGGGGAGCGTCGCCTTCAATGTATTGTAACTTCCGAGCTGAATGTATGTTATTTGTAATACAAAATATAGAAAAATGGGTGCACAGGCGTACAATGTCAATGTCGATGACAGTCTTGAACGCATTCTCGGAGATGCGAGAAATCGGCGCGAGGAAGTTTCCAGCCGCACCTGAAATAGAACATGGTATTCGGGGCATGCGTAAGGGTAGGAACGCTGCCCCCTCCCGGGAGGGGGGGGGTGGGGGACGTACCGGCGATCACGTAGTCGATCCGACCGAATTCAGCGATGCATTTGTTGACGGCCTCCTTCAAGGTGTCAGGTTTGCGCACATCTACTTGGCTGAAGAAGCACTTCCGGCCGGTGGCCGCGCTGAGTTCCCTGGCAGCTGTGAGGCCTTTTTCAAGCCTATGGGGCCAACCGTCATGACGTTGGCGAATCGTTAGGAAGAGAGAAGACCAACTTTCGGCCAA